GTCGCGCGGTGATGATGTCATCAGGGTGCGACGGTGGTCGCTCAGCGCGGGCTGTGGCGAAGGCGGGGTCGCGGCAGGCGGCGGGCACGGGCGGCACAGGGGCACGGGCGGCACAGGGGCAGGGGCGGCACAGGGGCAGGGGCGGCACAGGGGCACGGGCGGCACAGGGGCACGGGCGGCACAGGGGCAGCGGCGGCAGGACTGGCAGGGCGCGGGTTTGCGGCAGCGGGCACGGGCGGCACAGGGGCAGCGGCGGCAGCTCCTGGCCAGGGTGGCGCCGGAGGGGCTCCGTCAGCTCGGGACTCTCGGCCGGGGCTCGGCGCGGGCGGGGCGGTGGAGAGCTCGCCGCGAGGGAAGGCGCAGCTGGCAGTGGCCTCCCTAACGTCCTGCACTTTGGAATTCTCCGGGGCTAAGGATGAGCTGCTGCTGGGGCCGCTGGCTGACGGTCGGGCAGAAGCCTGCACTTTGAAACTCGCCGGCAGCACAATCGTTGACAAAATGAATAAAAGCTGATAAAATGACTCGCTCTCTTTGCTTTCAGTTTCGCTGCTTGCTAACGCAGCATAGGCTAGAGCTGTAACTTGCCTCTCAGTCCTTAGAAATTGCTCTGTTTCAGTCAGCAGCTGCCACAATGTAAAATAGTGAGCTGCTTCATCAAATCTTTTTGTGATTTTTCCCCCTAACTGTTCCTTTATAGCGTCCCAAATGGACACCTCAAAGGCAGCTTTAACTGTGGGGATTAGTAACTCTTTAAGAGCTTTTTCGTCATAATTAGAATCTCTCTCAGAGAGAATAAAATAAAGGAGCGTTTGCATTGCCTCTTCTTTTGAAAGAGCAAACCCCGACTCTCCTTTCTTCAGCCGACTCACCTGATCAGGGCAAGATTTCTTTTTCACCATGCGCGTGGCTTTGTTCCGTAGCGCCGGGGGTCACGCTGTAAACGGCTGCTTCTCCCACGTCCTTCTATTCGCCTTACGTCCCTCAGAACTCGACGAAGAGGATGTCCCGTCCCTGTTCAGGCGCCAGTTATCGATGGGGAGGCATGAACATAATGCTCACAGGCCATTATGGTCGGCAATATGTCAGTTTATTATTTAAATCAGTTAACTTTTATACAGTTTAGTTTGTTTGGGACACATGCTTACAATAAGGTGATTGGATAGCTCAGTCTGTGCACGCGTCTCATGTCCCCAGTTCATTGGACCTGATGTTCTGTCCACGCGATCTGCAATCATCCTTGGCATAGAAACCTCTTTCTAATTAATCTGCTTTTAGGGTTTTACTAAATTTGCAGGTTGATATGGTTTGAAGCTGGCTCCCTGCCAAGTCTCCAAACCTTACCACCAGAAGTCCCGTCCCAGCCCCCCCCCCAAACCTCAGGGAGAAGAGGGAGAAAAACAACCAACTAAGAAAACCCGAAACGAGAGAGACAGCTAAAGTGATATATATAAATATATTTACACTTATGTTACAATTCAAATATATACAATTTAAAATATATACAATTTCACAAGGGAAGGGGAAGGGGGAAGGGAAAGGGAACAAAACCAAAATAAAATATATATATATATATATATATCCCAATCAGTAGCCCGAGATCTAGTAGAGTTAGCAAAGAAAATATCCCACCACTCTCCTTGGGACAACCGAGAGTCACTCCGGGATGATCGCCGGCAACCTCCGCCTCCCAAGGTCGACAAGGCCTCACCAGGCCTCGCTCCCCAACACGGCAGACTCAACAGCAGGGAACCTGCACCTCCAAGCCGCCGGAAGGAAAGAGAGCGAAGGCCTCTCCTCCTTTCTTCTTATAATCTGGCTTACGTAAAAATCGTAGGGAATACTGGGTAAATCTGGACCCTTCCTTGGTTACAGACTGGTCACCAAGGAAGGCCTAGACCAAACCACCACACAGGTGTTTCATTATCTTCAGTTTCTCAAGGTTTTCTTTCTATAAACATATTATGTTCTCAAACCTTATAATTAGACACCCAGCTAACAAGTATAAGCATCACATATTTTCACACAGTCTGTAAGTATAAACAACACACGCTTGACACTTCCATGGCAAGCAAGGCCTACAGAGTGCAGGAAAAATTGTTCACAGAAATCTCTCTGTCCCAGCGACAGTTTCTCACATTTTTCCCAAGTGAAGGCAACAGCTACAGCCGTTGGCTCTCACAAAACCACAGCCCAAAACAGGATACTTGCAGGGGCCTACAAAAGTGACTCACCCCCTTTCCCCATCCCACTGGCATCAGGGCATGACCCCAGCTCGACGCTGCTTATCTGAGATCATAGTTTGGCCCAACGCTGTGGAAATGAGTTACTCAAGTCACTTCCCAAACACACACTGTATTTTACTTCTTGGGTCCTTCTTTCTTACTCTCCTTTTTTGGGATCTGCACTGGCTCTCGGTGTATCACAAACCCCTCTGTAAAAGCAGAAGCCGTCAAAGAAAATTGAAGGAAATCCTTGTGCTCGGCCCCCCCAGTTCCTGGTGCAGGTTCTATCAACAGCCCCTGATTCAGCTCCTTGCCCTTGTTTTTCAAGGGGTAGATTCTCCTCCTCCCCTCACAGGGAACCTCCTCCCCAAAGCCCCCCATGAACCATCATTTTTCCCTCTGAACAGGGAGTTTGACCCTAGCTTTGCTGAGCCTTGTCAAGCCCAGCACCTCTGCAGCAGGTCAGTCCACCTCCTCTCCCTGACCCAGTCCCCAAAACCATAAGGTTTCTCTAATGCTGAACATCCAGACCCCAGCACAGCTCCTGCCACCCCTCAGGTCCTCCTGTGACCCCCTTGGACCCGGCAGGGAGGGACACTGATACCACTGATACCACACACCCCACATACTTCCCGGCACAGCCGCCTGAGCCACCCGGTGTGGCAAAGCCGGGTTGGAGGCGTGCCAGGGAAGCCAGCCCAGAGTTTCCTGTTGGCAGCGCCGTCCCACTCCCGGCAGCCTCTTCCAACCGTGGGAAGCGCGGGAGGCGAGGGCAGGACCTGGCAGCGGCTTTGGCAGGCGGAGTTTGCAGCCCCAGCGTGGCTCTCCTCGTGTCCCCCCATTTGCAGGGCTTTCCCCTGCCCTGGCTGCCCCCCGGACATGCCTGAGCACAAAGCTGCCTCAAGGCTCCGGCTCTCCGGGCTGTGCTTCCTCCTCCAAATCCTCAACATCCTCCTCTTCGCTGCCTTTGTCCGGTACAGCCCAGAGAGCAGCTCCAGCCTCTGTTCCCCGCAGCTGAACTGCAGCCGGAGAAACCAGGACTCGGGTTTCCAGCACCCCCGTGAGTACCCCCGTGCCCGCGGGTGCAGAGTGGCTCTGTGGTCCCCAGGTGCTGCTGAGGGGGTGGCACAGGATGTCACCACACTCAGTCCAGGCTGCAGAGCCTGTCACAGCATCCAGCTCTGGACCGGACTCCACAGTTAAACAGAGGGGGAACGTCACACCGCAGGGTTGGGGTACCAGTGCATCCCACCAAGGAGGGCGCAGTGGGTGGAAAGCAGATGTACCGCAAAGATTTCCCACATGCTTGGACAGAGCCAGCCCCAAAACAGGGATATTTGGGTCCAGGACGTGCATTTCACCAGCTGGAGTTCAGAGGGGTTCACTGGGTGCAGCGATAAACCTGGGATCACACTCCCATCTCCTGTGGGGAGTATGGCAGCTGCTCCATGTGCCCTGGGGTCTGCAAAGCTTCCCATCACCCTGCTGGG